AAGGGGTGTAGGGGTCCCTGGGGGTGAAGGGGGGTGAGGGTGGACAGGGGTCCCCAGAGGAGGGAAGGGGTCCCTTGGAGGGGTTGGGGGGGGTTTGGATACCCCCAAAGTGGTCAGTGGTCCCCAGAGGGGGATCAAGGATCCCCTGGGGGGATAAAGGGAGAGCAGGGGTCCCCCAGAGGGTTTGGTGTTAGCAGGGGTGCCTGGAGGGGGGGTCAGTGTGGTCAGGGGTCCCGTGGGGGGGTCAGGTGTCCCATAGGGTGTGCAGGGGTGTCGGGGGTCCCGTGCCCCCCCCTCACAAGAGCACGGCTCCCTCGAAGCAGATGTCGGTGAGGGTCCTGTCCACCAGCACCGTGGGGGTGTCGTGGATCTCGGCCCCCACCTGCAGCAGCAGGAACACGGCACAGCGGTGCAGCTCTGGGGGCAAAGGGGGTCACAGGGTGTCAGGGGGGTCAGTGGGAAAGGGGGGACCCCGAGAACCACGGCACTCACCCCCCTTGTTCCTGAAGTACTCGGTGTCCTTCCACATCAGCGGGATACGCAGGTCTGGGGGAGCAGGAGTGGGATGAGACCCCTTGGGACCCCCACAAGGACCCCAGGCCCCGTGTCTGGGATGCAGACAGCCCCCCAGGAGGCGGGGGCTGGGCATGGGGTCCCCCGTACCTGAGATGCAGACAGTGCCCCTGCACGGCACCCGCTCGGCCCCGGGTCCAGCGTCCAAGGGGCTGTGGGGGACAGGGGTCAGTGCAGCCCCCCCTGCCCTCTGGAGTCCCTCATGCTCCCCCCAGGTTTGGGATCCCCATTCCCCCCCAGGTTTTGGGGTCTCTCCCCCAGCCACACCCCCCAGTGGGGTCACCACTGCCCCCCAGTTCTCAGAGTCCCACATTCCCACCCCAGGTTTTGGGGGTCCCGTCACCACCACATTCCCCAAAGATCCTCCATTCCCCTTCCAGTTTGGGCCCCCCCAAGTCCTCCCCCTCACCAGGGTCCCCCATTCCTTCCACGTTTGGGAGTCCCGCGGGGTCCCCGAAACGCCCCACCCCATTTTTGGGGTCCCTCACCGTCGGGCCCCCCTCAGCCGGGCCTCCTGGCGTCGCTGCAGCTCCCCCCCCGCCGCCACCACCCTGGCGTCGCACAGCACGAGGGTCTTGGTGGTCTCCAGGGCCTGCTCGGGGCGGCTGCAGGCGGGGAGGAGCCTGCGGGCCCCCTCCCGCACCCGCAGTGCCCGCTCCAGTGCCCGCTGCAGCTCCGGCTCCTGCCACAGCAACGGGGGATCAGGGGGCTCGGGGGGAGCAGGGGGGCTCAGAGGGGGCTCAGGGGGCTCGGGGGGCTCAGAGTGGCTCAGGGGGTGCTCAGAGGGGGCTCAGAGGGGGCTCAGGGGGCTTGGGGGGCTCAGGGGCCCTCCAGCACCCGCTGCAGCTCCAGCCCCTGGAATGGGCACACTGGGGTCAGGGGGCTCAGGGCCCCCTCCTGTACCTGTTCCTGGGAATAGGGCACGGGGGGACCCAGGCACCACCCGTGCCCTGGACCCCTGGGGGTCCCAGCCCTGCCCTCCTGGGGGTCCCAGTCATGTAGTCTGTGGATCCATCATGTCCCACACACGGGAATCACATACCCCACTGACCACCCACACCCTCAGAGGTGCCACACCCCCTAAATACAGGTATACCCCTTGGGGGAATGATGAACCCCATGGGTACCCCACAGCAGGGCCACAAACACATCCAGTGCCCCACAGCTGTGCCACGAACCCCAGAGATGTACCACCACCCCCCAGACACACTGTGCACCCCACAGCAGAGCCACGGGCCCCACTGACCCCTCATGCACCCCACAGGGCAGTGATACACCCCACAGACATACCATGTACCCCACAGCAGAGCCACACACCCCACAGACCCATCCTGTACCCCATGGGGGAACCAGGTACCCCCCAGATGTGCCACACACCCCCCAGACGTGCCACACG